TTCCTGACACGCTGATGCGAGACCTGTAAGCAGCCAAACAATGAAAGCAGCTTTTCTGCAACAAAAATGACACCACTCCCTCGACGCAGTCTCCGGTACCCGCGTGCCCTTTACGGCACGCGGGTACGGCGTGGTTCCTCGAGATCTTCTGGTCCACATTTGGAAGACCAGAAGATCTCAGATGGTACGCTTCCGCTGCTGCTCTTCTGCAGTTTCAGTGAACGGCTGTGGTCACGTCAGCCACCATTTCTACACCTTCCTTCTCGTGTTCAGACCTTTAACACCAATTAATCAACGAATGATCACCCTGCATAAACACAGCAAAGAGATTTATAACTCCACATTATTCCTGTCAATCAGAACTCAATACTCTCCGAAGGCAAAGGGAAATTCTATGTTGGGCACGAGAAAAATATTTATGCAAAAATCTTTTATGCAACGAGCCTTTTAATCAGACTCAAGTGCCTTTTAACCTCTCTAGCTCGTGGCTGAGGGGTTCTTGCAAAACCAAACAAGAACTGCTGTTATGAACGTTTGTCTGGGTGTGTAGCGCGAGTTTGGAGCCGTCAGACCGACTGGAGGCTTGTTTGTCGCGTTCAGTCCGGGTTAGAAGTCACGAGAAATAAGGAATTAATATGACACACTGAACTATGTTATTTATGGAGCACGCTGCTCCAATATCTAATAAGACCTTCAGTGTACCGAAAAAAGAAAAACGTGTTGGCTTAAACCAGTGCTTCTCAATTATTTTCTGTTACGCTCCCCCTCCCCAAGGAAGAAGAAACCATTTCAGTGCCCCTGGCACCTAGCTTCATTCAAACATTTCTCAGTTTAAATTTGGAAAATTTTGTCTTTTTAAGCAAGGTTAACCAATGTCTCGGAGAAGGCTGATGGGGGGGCCCTATTGGGTGTATTCTGCAGTATCCCCACCTGTCCATCCCTCCACCTCCCTGTCAGAAGCTGCTGATGAGAGGAGAGGGGGCTCTGCCATGGCCTTGTTTGGCATTTACAAGCCCTGAGATCATTTCACACCTTGACTGGAACCCATCTGTGAGGAATCAAATAGACTGGATGTGATCTAGAAAAAAGGTGTACGCTGACCTACACGGGGCTCTGTCTACAGAGCACTGTGGAACCAAAGCACAGCATCAAAATAGGAAGGAGTTCCCTCAAAAGAGACCCGAACAAAACGGCCTTCGTGTTGGACTGCAGGCACACAAAAAGGTACAACGTCTCTTAAATGCAACATCTATGGAAAAACTAGGACTGAGCAGTCAGGCGGGGACCAGAAATGATCCCAGATGTGACCGAGAACCTGATTGTCCCCGTGTACAAAAAGAAGCTGTTGGTCACCTATCAAATAACACAACAGTAAACAATGGCGGCGGTGTCATTACCATGTGGCAGGGACACAGAGACCAAATGATGGTGTACAGGAGGCTGAACAGTACAGAGATGGCTTTGATGAAAACCTACACACAATGTTGATCCAGAAACAACTCAAATTACCAAAAGCACAAAGGAGAGACAACACTGGGCTCGTTCAGGAGCAACAGCAAGTGCTGGCTTCACTAAATTAGGAGCATATTGCTGATATTCATTTAGTGTCTTTTCTTTTTTAAATCACTTCAACCCTGTTCTTCAATGGACCGCCTTAATTGGAGATGGGCAAGTCAACTTTACAGTGTTCAGCTGTGTTTGAAGTGCTTTTGGCTGAATTTACAAAGGAGCCGTCTGTGTTTATGCATCACGCTCTTCTTTTTCAGAGTATTTTGTGTTAAAGGTTTGTGAGTTCTCTAAAATGTTGGATTATATGAATCATTCCTCATGTGGCATTATACCTTTTAGTCCAAAGGAAAGAAAATCTGTCTTTTACCTTTTTCAGAATAAAACCACCAAATGGATCCTCATCTGCATGATACTCATCAGATATTTAGGGACCACGGTGGCACAGGTGTTGGAATTATCTTTTGGTTATAAAAAGACGTATCTGCTCTCCTTTCTATTCCCTCTCTTCTAAACACAAGAGTGCACCTGCAACACAATTCACTTTCCCTTTTATGTTTCAGATTATTCACGATCAGGACTTAAAAACTAAAAAGATACTGGGAAAATATAAATGACTGAAAGAGCTTCTGCTCATTACAGAATTGAAATGGCGCCTCTCCTTTAATAATCTAATGTCATTCACGGTTTGAAACTTGACTCTGGTGCCAAATTCACTCCATTTAAAAATCACTTGAATTAAATCTGTCAACATAGAAAATAAAAAGTGTGTGTGTGTGTACCCATTCTGTACAACAGAGCTGATGTCCACTATCATTTGGTTTGTTTACTCAATGTCAAATATTGTAAACTTCCAGAAGATTGAACTGCCAGAGAGACAAACATTCTCAAGTGACGATAAGATAAAATTATACACAACGTCTACAACACTGCAACAAATAAAGTAAGAATACCAGAGTTTGGACACTTTGCCGGTGGCAGAATGGCACACTGCAACATAAATAATCTATCATAACCATTTCCTCTAAGCACTCAACACTGTAGGATATCAAACTCATTTTCCACTAAATGTGCATCTTAAAAGCAGGGTATTGAGATATTAGCTCTTACCTGCAGTGAGGGGCCCAAAAATACGCTTTGCAAAGTGGATGAAATGGTAGACCGATAAAAGGGCAGATAATCCCACCAGGTTCAATTAACTATGAAATCACAGTGAAGACCGTCAGCCCAGGCAGCAGACACCATTCACACAAAAGAAGCATCAGCATCCTAATGAGAACATGTACTTCCACGCAAAAAAAAAAAAAAATCAGTCAATCATCTGTGTGCAGCCATGAGACATTTCTCTCTTGGTGCAAAACTGATTAACATTTATAAAAAAAAATCTCAGCATGTCCTTATGCATCATACTGTGGGAAAAATAGGTTGTACTGATCAAATAGTAACCAAATTTTTTAGATTAATAGAAATGTCTTAAAAATAATCATTCCCAAAGTGTTGATGATTTTATATTTATCAAACACTAAAGACGATGAGTGCTTTTGGATTAGTAATGTCAAGACTAAATGTGTCATGGAGGCTTGGATGTGCACTTATTCCAACACAAGACCGCCATTACATGCATTTTTTAAAAACTATTTGATCGTTCTTTACTGTAGGTGTGACTAATAAATAATTGTAGTTCAGTTATAACTAAAATGTAAAGTTGAAAAAGTCTTCCTCTCTTTTGCTAAGCAACACTGGTTAAACCCTTTTTAAAAACGTAAAAAAACATAACAGAACAATGTGGGAACAAAGGGCAAATAATTATACTGGTGTGCACTATTAAAATAGCACACACTGAATGTTGCTGGCTTCGAGCCTTTTGTTTTTAGATAATTTATTACGTTTTCTATGCATTGAGCCCCTACGATATACTTCCCTACTTATTGAGGATGTTCTTCTTGAATGCAGACATGAGAATAATTTCAGACCACATGTCTGAATATTTTTTACAATGACAATTGTTGAAACTACAAAAAAGCCTTTATTCATCCACTTACATTCATATTTGTTTAATATTACTCTGCCTAACCAAAATAAATAAATATCAAATATATCATATTTAATACCGACAATACTTTATAGGATTCTGTATAAATGTATAATAACCATGTGCTACATTCAATTGTATGAAAACTCATTATCTGATATTGGTGGCACATAAAGGGGCATGAATGAGCCAAGAAATCGCCACTTAGCATCTTAATCAAAGTGTGTGTAATCACGGTCGTTCCACACAGATCTTTAACTCATTTTAAATTTCAGGTTGAGGCCTGATTGGGTTCAGATTGGTCGTTGCACAGCCTGCCATCTGAAAACAGGCGGCTTTTGTATCAGGCAACACACCCCCAAGATGTCAGAGTCAATGGCTGAGAGGCGCAGGCTTCCAGTCAACCGAGCTATGAGAGTTCCTTGAATGCAATTCAAATATAAATTACAATCAATACGAATTACGCTAGAGTTTGTGGTAATGATCCCCGGCACAGTGCTGGATTTTGATTGTAAATAACCGGCGGTTTTGATCGGTGTAGACAACACCACCCACTTCATGTTACCGTTTATGTCGCTCATGCTTTCTTATAATACGGAGAAAGCAATGATGTTCCAACTTGGCTGTTGAATGTTACAAAATTGATCTCGGGTAGTATTATTAGGTAATAAAGACGGTATATGCGATACTATTTGGTTAAATGATAATGCGTGGCACAACGGCTGGGGGGGTGGACGAGTTCACGTACTGTTTTGTACGGCAAAAATCAACATCAGAGCAAGGAACAGTCTGAGACAAAAGCCCACTGCAGCCCCTCAGTGCCCTCACGTTTCCCCTCCCCAACGTTTACAGCTAGCTAGCAAGCCTGTACCCAGCCCGTCACAGCCTCACAGGCTGGCTGAGACTAACCCAGCTCACCGTGCCTCGCTCCGACATTTTCCTATTGGCTCTCGGTGCCCTCGCTTCAAATTCAGCGACTCAATACAAGCGGATACAGCCTAAATTTCAGTCAACAGAAATAAACCACTCAATGTGAGAAACGCACGTGGCACACAACTATACCAAGCCCACGCAAACACCTAACATTCATTTTTCGCACGCAGTTGACGTCAAGTTAGCTCAACATTAGCCCGTTTGCCGTAGAACTTAGCCAGATGGCTAACTGGGGTTTTTACCCATCATGATCTGAAGCGATTTTAACAAGCGTTGTTTTATGCTTACCGTTAAACAGGGTTCCGCGTCCCACCGACTCATTCACGTTCCACTGTGCTTAAAAATGGCTCACTATAAACTGTTATTTCCTAAATATCGGACGTTAACCGTTGCCTACGGCTGTGTGACGTTCATCGCTGGTTTTGAAAACATCCCAGCCGTTCGTCTGCCGTCCTCTCCGAGAAAAGCCTAGCAAAACATGCAAACGCCGACCTGATTGGTCGACGGGAGTCATGTGACCGCTTGAGCCCCACCGAGCTTATAAGGTCTCCGTCTGCTGGAGAGACTGTAGATGGGTACGTGTCAAACGATAAAAACTGATATTCTTTCGAGCCTGTGAGTAAAGCCGCCATTTTAATGCTTACAGTATTTGACTTGCTAACGCACTGAGCGAAATAGTGGCATGTTTAACGTCTGCAGGTGGCTTTCTGAGTGTGAATTTAGATTGAAACGAGTGGAGAGTGAGAACAGGAATGGCCACTTGACGTCATCTTTTCCGCTGCTCTGTTGCGGTCAGGGAGAACTTTCTCGAAGAACCCAGCTGAGATTAACAGATGAATGACAGTACCGGTCTGTGTTTTGAGCACAGACCTCGCCACTCACACGTACTGTCATTGAAATATCAATGGCGCTAATTAGCACGATTTGCCCGCCAATTTTTAGTATATGAGTCAGCTTTGAATTGGTTGCGCAGTGACATTTGCATCATGGTGGATGTTACGCGCATGCGTCGTCGGTGCATAACGTTGCAGCGCAGTTGAAGAAAGTGGTGAGAGGAAAGTGGGGGAGGGGCACCGGCTAGACACGAAAACGCCACCTGGGCGGGATGGAAATGACATGACAGAAACAGTTGCTGGAAGGGAGCCGCTTATTTTATTTTAGATTGTGCTGCTTTATGGGTATGGTTGTAGCACTAACTGGAGGGATTAGCTCTATAGGATCATGTTTTGGTTTGTGGTATCATGTTATTATGTACACACTCTAGTAAGAGTATACCAATCAGAGATGACATTTAAATCTCGTCTAGTTCTATGAGTTTATATTGAGAATGATAATAGTACCAATTACAAAGAATACCTAGTGTTATTTGGTTCATTATCTGTCTATCTGACATTGATAGATCAATAATCTGATGGCCCTTGCGGAGCATATAGAGGTTAGTAACCTGTCATTTCAGGATGCCATCAAACAAATTGTGAAATCACATGTCTGCAGTGCAGGGATCCTGATCTGTGGACATTTACATGGTACTTAATACTTAATCCATTGCAGAGTGCAGAATAAATCTGCTCAGAAAGGCTGGATAAGTGCATGATGAATGTTCGTTTAAACAAAGCAGGGTTTTTTTCACTGTAATGTTATAGTGATTCATCAGATACAAGCTTCAAATAATTATATTCCTTATTTTAAAAAAGGAAACCTTGCTGTTCAACCACAAGGTAAATCTAGTTTTGAGGTGGTTTTTATTACATTCTTTTTAAATTCATACATGTGAATTCATTTATTTACTCAAAACAAAGGCAAATAATTTTGCATTTTAGGAAATTTATAGCATGAATATGAACTGAAATAATAAGCACAGCGTTTATGGTACCCCCCTCAACACACCTCCACCATCACCAAGTATTTCTGATTCTGACATAATAAAGCAGGATGATATTTAACAACCAAAAACAGTCTACCTTAAACCATGAATAAGTTTATTGGTGGCATAAATGTTTGACCTCTACTTTTAATAGCCTGACGCAGAACTGGAGGCCTTACAATAAATACATTGTATCAGATTAATACTTAATGTTTTTGAGTCAATGTAAGTGACCACTGCTCGACAACAGGTAGAGGATCATTTTATTTACAATATGTTTCAGGTTTGACAGATTCAGGGACGACTTCCCTTCAAAGCACGCAGTCAATTGGCTTTATGATGTCTACAGGTCCGATCTTACACCAAATCCTGGTCCTTTAGGAGGCTCTGTGAGGGAAGTTAATCCCCCTGCAGGCTCACAGGAAAAACGTCCGCCCCTGAAAAGAAAAATGAACATGTCCTGACTTGCAATGACCGCACACGTGGTGAGACTGAAAATTGTAAGAGCAGCTCTACTGACGTACCTGGGTCCTGGTGCGGGGACTCTGCCCGCCTTCAGTTCATCAATAATGTCCTCAATATCTTTGGGTGTGAGGTCCTCCTGCAAAAAGAGAGGAAAACCACATAAAGAAGAATAAGGCAGAAATATGTAAAGCCAGTCAGCGGGGAGAGGCTTTACTTCAAGCAACAATTATGAAGAAATGTAAAATCATTATGTCTCAACTCCATTAAGGTGATTGTTTTACTTTAACTTACTCTTAAAACTTCTTCCTAGCTGTATCTCTTGTTCTATAATTATGATTTGGACTTGTTAACTTAAATTTGGTTTCAATGCCTTTTGAAAAAAAACTACAATATGATAAACAGTAAAGATCTAAAACAGAATATATAAACTGTAGAAAACAACCTAATATTTACATATTAACCAAATAATGAGTTGTTTGATATTTTTAGATGTAATTTACTCTTCAGGTTGACCATGAAGGCTATGCATCTTTCCTATCCCAAAACCGTTTATACAATGAGCCCTACATTAAAAATGATTTTACATATTAAAGAGGTATGCAAGTAAGCATTTATGTTCTGAAGACGTGCAGACCCAAAAATCTGCAGTTTTCTTCAGTTTTAGAAAACAGGTGACGGGTGTTTTCTCTTAGAAATGACCCACATCTTTGTGATCTACTGAATGTGTATAATGGCAGACTTAATTAATCTTGTTTCTGTGGACTGTGGACTTAAGACTAATTATTCCCCTCAAATGCTAAACTCGGTGTGCCTTCTTCTTGCTCTAATGATCGTGTCTCAGCAGTTTGCCGTTTTAAAGAAAAGTTGCATTTACTTTAATTGGGTCGTTCGGTTTTGCTTGGCTTGCAATAAGTGTTTCCCGTGGTAACCAAATGTAAAATTAGATTCACACTCTGTTTTAAAATCAAATCTCAAAGTGTGTTTTGGTTGGTTAATTTAATCCATGTCCAAAATGAGTTGAAAAAGACAGGATCGTGTCATTATTAGAGTTGTTGTTACATTTGTGTCGGGGGTGCGGGGGCCCCGCCAGCTGTACCGACATCAGTCAAGCAGGGCTCAGATGGATTCTCTGCTGACATTCTTTGGTAACTTATTTAAGGCAGTAATCTGATTTTCTTAATGTAGTTATAATGTTCAGGGAAGAGGTCATCTGCCCAAAAGTCAAGCACTCACATAATAGTTGTCATTGATCTGAACCATGGGGGCATTCACGCAGGCACCCAGACATTCCACCTCGATCAGAGTGAACATCTTGTCTGGAGTGGTTTCGCCAACCTTGATACCTGTTGAGGGACACGGTTTAATGGGAAGAAAAGCTTCGCCTCTGCAACGAGATCTGTGAGTCGCAACAAAAAGTCAAGTTTGACTGAATGAAAGAGAAAATAAATGCTTTTGAAACGGAACCCGATCTCAGATTTGTTGGTTTTCTGTCTTATTGTCTATTTTCTGTCTGTCTTCTTGTTTGCTGCTACAGCTTGCCGTTGTTTAAACACCATGGATGGTTGTTTATTTACGTGTTTGTTCTCAAATGCTGTTTATCTCAAGCATAAACGATAATAATAAAAAAAAGGTTGCAGTTAAGTGTTGTTTTCTTGTCTTTATTTGACTATCAGAGTAAAAGCAAAAATGACTTACCCAGTTTGTTTTGGATGGCCTCCAGGATGCTGTCGGAGTTGCAGAGCATGCACGGTGTTGTCGTGCAGATCTGGATGAAGTACTTTCCCACAGGCTGACGCAGAAACATCGTATAGAAAGTTGCCACTTCGTAAACTCTCATTGGAGCAACACCCAGCACCTCAGCCACCTGAATGACGCAATAGACAAACATTGAAGTGAGCTTGCAGAGACATCTTTAATCCTAAAAATTCTAACTTAAAAACTGGTTGGCACTAGTGCTGCAAAACCCTGCGTGTACACATACTATAGCTTGTTCTAACAGCCTGCACTGGCATCCACTCAAAGGTCTGTTTACCATCTTTGGGGCATGCACATGGGAGTAATGCACGGAGTCATGATGTGCGTGCAGAGTCTGGCATTCCCATGAGATCAAATATTAAATCATAAATCCTCAAGAAGTCCCACAAAAACATGCCATTGTGCCCGGGCACCCGGGGCTCAACTGGCTGAGCAGCTGTCATGAACAGGGAGGTCCTGACTGCTGCAGGCTGGGGTTAGAGTCCAGGGCACTGACCCTTAGCTGCTTTTTCTTTACAGCTCCTGTTTAAAAAAGTCCACTGGTTCCAGAAAAATCTTAAAATTTGTAGATTAAAAAATAAATTAAATGAATTTAAAAATCATATTTACTTCTACAATTAAATAGATTTAATACAAGTTTTTAAAAATGATTCTGAATTTAAAAGGAAAATGCCTCTTAGCTGCAGCTGTTCATGTTTGATAAAGCCTGTGTGTGTGTGTGTGTACATAGTGTATGAGCAGTTTGAGTGTGCATCTCTGACTGCTGTGGTAGACATGAGTGTCGTGTTTACAGTGGGACGGATGCACGTGTAACTGCAGTGGAGGTCGACTGCTTGCAAAACTGGCTCTGTATAGCACCGGGGGGATTCGAACACGTCTGAGAGAGGCTTTTAAGAAACCACCGTGCCTTATTCATGGCTGAGATGGGGAGCCATCCATGTTGCCTCTGGGCCACGTCCAAAACAGGGATGGTGGCTGCTTGCTTGTGTCCGTCAGGGTACATTGAAACGATTGCCTCAATTCTCTACAGGAGAAATTTATGGAGAAAAAGGGTTCATTAATCAGCATTGTTCTTTTGCAATTTGTTAATTGGTTTTAATTTAACTGTTCATGGCATTGCATCAGATTTATTTTTACCGACACTGTACAGCAACTGTTCAGTTTCATAGAAAATATTTTCTAATCTTATATTACAGGATGCTGACATTTACAACAGCTATTTGGAAAGATACAAATCAATGAAACTGGTGAAGCAGACCTATTAAATACTGAGAGCTACTTTCAAAAGTAATAATATAAAGGGGGAAAAGTAGTATTAAGATATGTATATACCCATAACACGCTCGGGTACATTCAATCTGCCCATAAAATAAGATAGTCAGACATTTAAACTTTTAATGGAAGAAAAAAATCGAAGAGTTGCTTGCAGAATTGCAAGTCCTACCTTTTTGTTCTCCTCTGTGAACTCAAATGGAGTGTCAGCGTTATTGTCGGGAGTATCTCTGTGCTGAGACAGAAATATGACCACGTTAAAGCCAGTTCCATAGGAATGAATGTGTAGCAGAACTCAAATAAAACTTTGCTGCAAATGCAAATTCAATTTTTAAAACCGAGAAGCGTCTATTTTAGACTCATTTCTATCCAGCTGCTCTCGTGTGTGAAAAACCGGTTTATGAAAAGCTAACAGCACCTAATAAAATATGAAGAACTTGTCATGTAAGCCCAGAGGGGAGGCTGGTTCAGCTATTGACCACAGGAGCTCAAACACCAATTATTTCTGCCTCTGTACACACTGCCCCCTTGTGAGCAGCGAACATTATTTGTGCCATTAAAAGATGCCGCCTTATATTTTATTGTGTTTAAAATAAAATATATCCAAAACAACAGGGAGTGTTTTGAATTTTTTTTTAAACAAAGAACTGGTCAAAACACCATCTCCTGACAAGGGATTATGAAACCATGGCATGTTTCCACTGCATGATAATTAACATGGGATGTTATTGTGAGGCCATAACAAGCTCTAAAGATAGCTCTGGATTTATTAGGAACCTGTGGAATAAACACATCTGGGATTGGTTTTAAATGCTGAAGAGTAAGACAAAGCTTCAGGTTGGTGGAGGAAGCAAGTGGTACGAGCAAGGTCAAATGCACAACGACTGACATTTATGGAAAAACGTAAATGACTAAAAATACAGCAGACCTCCAGAAATAATGGGTTGTTAATACTTAAAGTTTTACTTCTGTGACCACATCGTTACATTATTCTGATCGTCACAAAATGTCGCACACCCTCTGAAGCTACGCAGAAGCTGCTCCTGCAACTGAGGACGTACTGGAAACGACAACACCGCCCTGAAAAACGCCATGTTTTATGTTTTTGCACTTTGAAATGCGTGCATAACTATTCTATTGCACGTGTTTGCCAGGTTACACACAAGCTCACACTCTTCAACTGTTTTCATTTCATGTTGCTAACTGCTTTAGAGGCTGACAAAACAGAACAACAAAAATAACAACGATGATTATGTCCAGTTTTAACCGAGCACACAAAGCAGAATGGTCAGGTTTCAGAAGGCTTTCTTTTGTACATTTTTTAGTAGAATGTGTAACTCACCACAAAGATGCCCCCAGCTCCAGCCCGTGCAGCTGACCGATGCAGACTCCTGACCTGCCTGGCCTGTAATGGAAAAACACTTGTAAAACATCTGGACAGATGAGTGGATTTCCCGAAGATTTCAGTAATTACTTATCCCAAGAAAACACAAATGTGTGTTTGTATTTCAAAATGTGTACACAGAAGATACAATAAACAGATGTTGTAACTGCCAACCACAGATGTGTTTTAGGAGCAACTTCATGTATGAATAAGAGGGCAGCTGTTTTAATAGCATCACATGAGCACCACCTATGAACACAATCTCATACACTCTGCTTTGTAATGGTGCATTCTAATCTTTAACAAAGACTAGGTTAAAAAAAAATAGAGATTACTCATTGAATAAATTATATCACCCCCATGTTTTTTACATTTCATTCGATGCTAATATGCAATTAAGGTTGAGCCTCGTAGCTGACTGCATTTCGTCATTAAAAACCTTCCATGAAGTTCCACTCATCACCACTATTCCCAGTTTTACTTTCTGTCAGTCTAAAGCGGTATTTATAAACTTAATTTTTGTGTTCAGATTAAATCCTCTTTTGCTCTGGTTCTTCCTTTTGGCCACCGTCTGTACTGATGACAGCAGGTAGCTAGGTTAGCTAGCAGGCTACTGTTACTCAACGCTACTTAGCTTAGCGCCCTACGCTAGTGCCCTTGTGAGGAGTCACGGCACTCTCACCTAAACTTATAGAAATTAGCCTGGACTTTAAAGCACATTAGCAAATACAACATCCCAGTCCTACCGCCTGTGACACAGCCGAGCGCACAGCTGACGACAAAAACATCTTAGGGCTTGAAGTTTGTTCCCGGTGTGTTAGTGACTAGAAGAGGCTGCGGTGGCGGACATCAACACAAGCGTTCTCACGTTCGATTAGCACGGTCTGACGTCAGACGTAGCGTCTGACGTTAGAGTTAGACGCTACGTTGGCCAGTCATGGCGTAACTAAATCGATGCCAGAGCTGAACACGACGAGCGAATGACAAACAACACACTGAGGACATGCCCGCAGTTTTTTGGGCTTCCTTAATCCACATAGATTTTTGCTTTTGTGAAATTTATGGGGCTGCTATGAAATTATATATTTATTCATATTAGATAAATGAAGGATTTCTTAGGGTAAAAAAAAATCATCCAAAGTTATATCGTCTTTATTTGATAATTGAAACATTTATTCAAACCAAACGAATTTAGAACCATTTTTATTCACATGATCAACTGTAAACTTATTTCACATTCATACTACCTTCTCGTTTTGCAGCTGCTAGTTCTACTATTACTATTACTGATAAAATATTAATGTTTACAGTTAAGGAAAATGTCAGTCAGATAACATCAAAATCAATGAGATGAAAACAGATTTATCCACAGGAAATTATCATATTTTGTCATGAATAATGCTTTCTTTTTCTTAGAATGACCTATAATTAAAAAAAACTATCTTTCGAGATAGAAGAATTCAAAACAAAACTGGAAAAACAACTTTTTGAAAATTAGATCTTGTGCATAGTTAAATAAATAAAAAATGAAACCTTTGAAATATGAACATATACAGAGAACAAATGTGAGGAACCTCAGTCTGCTGGGAAGGAAACCTTGAAGATGTGAACAGCTGTTGTTTTCTTTGTTTTTCACAGTTTCGCCCATCGCCCTCCCTCTCAAAACAAACCTCTGCGTGCACGCTTGAATCCCCAGCATTCATCCGGCAGCACACCTCCTCCTCTCCTCCACCCTCTTGCTCGAAAAAAAAATAATGTGATCAACATGCCAGGGGAGGCTCATCCAATGAAAAAGTGGGAGTGCTGGGCCCTGTGAGCCTATTGGCTGCCATGACACTAAGCAGACTGAGGGAAGAGTCTGCAGATCAGGGATTAGGGGCGGGTGGGTCTTTATGCATGCTGAATTGTGTTGCCTCAGTGCAGGAGGCCTTGTTCTCGCTTTACACTGGAGGACCCAAACAGGCCGGCAGGGACTCCTGATTTACCCGCTTGCTGACTTACCCTCAGATGACATAGGCCCGTCGACATCTGTCCTTCCACAATGGTTGTTCCTGAATCCCAGGACAAAATGTATTACCCTCCTGACGACCTGCAGAGAGATGCTCACGTACCTGATTTTAAATCCTATTTAGAAATGTACAGGAAGTCGTTGGAGAATCCAGAAGGTAGGTCAAATATGTCTGTGTTGCTCTGAGCACAGTGTTTGTGGGCTGATCTGTCGAATATGACAAAAACGATCACTTTTCCTTGAAGCTTTCTGGAAGGAGATTGCAGATGAGTTCTTTTGGAAGAAGCCAGCAACAGGACCGATGCTGCAGTACAACTTTGATGTGACGAAGGGCAACATATACATCAAGTGCATGGAAGGGGCCAAAACCAACATATGCTATAATGTCTTGGACAGGCATGTCAAGGAGGGGAACCTCGGTGAAAAGGTTGCCTATTACTGGTAAGCAACAACATGCCCAAAGAGCGCGGGATAGCTGTGATAGGAGGTGCTGCCTGGAGTTATGTCAGGTATTCCGGTCTATAATAACTGCTGTGTCCCCTCTGCCAAGAGCACCTCACCAGACAAACCCTCTCTTGCAACACAATGTCAGAGCTTCAATCCTGCTCCTCTCCAGCTTTTTCCAAACTAAGCTGCTAGATTTTTTCCCCCCACAAATCCACTTTTGCACGACTGTCCCCCATTAGGGCTGAACGTAATGTGTTTTGTTTTTTTACTTTATAACACGCCACATGTTTGCTCTGTCAACTCCAGAAGCTTTGCAAACAAGAAGGAGTTGCTCTTCAAGTTCAGCCGTATAGGGGTTCTGTCCTAGAGCACGCCAGTGTTTCAGAACTGTTCGCACAAATCAAAGCACGCGCAATCTATCTGCCAGTCGCAGTATCCCGATACATAAAGGAAAAACAGAGCTGGATTCCACATTATGAGTAAATAAAAAGTTAATACGGCCTCTGTTGAGGAAATTCTCAAGCAAAAGCCTGAGACCGTTTAAGAGAATAAGAGATAGAAAATGTATTAAAGGGAAAACTTCATGAAGTCAGAGCAACCAGCAGGTGCCATGCAACGTATCAAGCTGCGTATCAGCTATTCCAGTTTGAGGCTGAACTGAGACGTCACGTCTTCCCCTCACCCAAAAATTAGACGTAAAGTATGGCCTTCATTCTGCACCTGTATTAAACAATCCTCAAGAATTAGACAAAATATGAGGAGGACTTCTCTTAGACCTTGAAGGAGGAAAGGACTTTTAAAATACTCAATTGTGTAAATTTACCAGAGAGAATAAAACAGAAAAGAAATAGAATAGAAAAGAAAAATAGAAAAGAAAATAGTCATGCATATATTGACTTCCCCCACAGCCTCCTTGTAATCCTATTATGATTTTTGGATTTTCACGTCCAAACTTACAGGGCAAAACTACACCCACTGGTATCACTGCAAAATTAAGGGGCAAAGCTTAAATGGACTTGTTTTCTTTGATATAACTTGTTATAACTTGATGCCCCTTTGTGTAGCTATAAAGTTATTTTTACCTCAAATTTAATCAGTCTATATTTGGAGCTAACCAAATGTGTGTTCACTGGGTTTCTGTGTCAGTGGGAGAATGAATACAGGAAAGTAGAATAATTATTCATCGAAGGATTTATTATCAGCTATAAGGGTGAATGATTATGGGGGAAATATTTAAAGGAGGCAGTTTATACACTGTTATCTTACGGGTTTAAAGTTTCAATCTTAATGAGATTTCTGTTTGAAATTACCTTATAGGTGTCATATTAAAGAAAATTGGTTACTTAATACAGATAATAATAAGACATTGACGCTGAGATACATACACAATCATTTATTTGGCTTTTTGGTGGATGGGTTGATGCAAATTTGAACTTTCCTCATAGAAACAAAGATAACGTGTGCTAATATTTCATCATTTCAGCCATTATAATGATTTTAATGGCTTGAATGAAAGAAATACAAATGCTGACGCTAAAGAACATAAAAGAATACATGGGGGGGATTTACCACACTGGATTTCCCAAAATGCCAGCAGTGCCCCCCCTTTCCCTCCATCTGGACCTTTGGTTAATGATTGCAGATTCTCATGCGGACAGTAAATCATTTCACCACTCAGGTGGGCAGCGGGGTGGCCGGCCGGTCGCTGGAGTGTTTTTGCTTCAGCAGAAGCCCGCTGCCAATCTGTTTGCGGGCACGTCAATCAGACGGTGACACATCGTTTTGCAAATAGCCGCCCCAGCAGGCATCCAAATCAAACATAGACCCGGCAACAACTGGAACAGGTTAGCTCCACCGTGACCTGGCAGAACTCTGGGGGAAAACTTTGAATTGTCTCCTGCTCTCTGAGGAGGACCTTTTGGGGCTGCATGAATAGAGTGATTTCCAAAAATGGATGGCAGAGCCTGTTGCTTCCAACTCTCTGCACTATTTAGTTTTAAAGGTATTTTATGAGTATTTCTAACAAAACCCACAGATGGTTTCTGGTTTGTATCACTTTTTTCTCATTGTTCGGTCAAAGCGCATCTGGGAATGAACGTTTTAATTATTCTAAAAATGCACACGGACAGAAATGATTTTTGTGCGTCTGTCATTCTCAGGGAGGGAAACTCACCCGACCATCACATGACCATCACCTACGGCCAACTGCTGGACCAAGTCTGCCGCTGTGCTAACGTTCTCAAGCAAATGGGTAAGAATCTGAAGTCCGCCTCAGTCACAAACAATTCCACATCCAAACGGTATTCTCATGTTTCTAGTTCAGACGATTATAATTCAAAACAAAGGGTAATAAAGTGGGGTTAACCTGCCTAGTCGAGGTCAGGGTCCCAGGGGGGAGCTGGGGTCTCCAATTCACTCAACGTGCATGTGGGAAACACACAGTTTTGTATCTCTCAGACATCATTCAACACTGAGACATGGCCCAAGTGCTTTTTTTAGCCAGTTCCAGTTTGACAATTGTCTGTACTTGTTTTGTTTGTTTTTCTCAAAAAGGGGTGAAAAAGGGAGACAGGGTGTCTATCTACCTGCCCATGATCCCAGAGCTGGTCCACACAATGCTGGCCTGTGCCAGAATAGGAGCAGTTCACTCCATCGTGGTAAGCACTCCTGCTGATCCAGGAAATGTGGAACCTTTCATTTCCACTCTCACTGTGGGCATGGGAAAGTCAAAGTGGTGCTTCTGTAGATTCACTCAAGCAAAGAAAGGTGTTTTTTTTTTGGTGGTGTTCTGTTCTGGTGGCGCTCCGCCGGTGTCTGTGCCACATGTGATGAAAAGGCTGCCCTCGTTTCGCAGCGTTTTTCGAGGCAATCAACGCGGGCTCCTTGTGTTTGCCGCTCTGACCCAGTTTCCACAAGAAAAACTCCACCTGAACGCGCGGCTGAGCTGGGGCTGGCGCGGGCTGCCTCGCTCCAGAAGTTATCAGCGTTCTCACAGAGCTGGCAGCACCTGCACTCCATATGTGGGTCAGACACATGTTTCCAGCCCGGGACGGCAGGCGGGCCGGGGCTATTTTTGATATCTAACCTTCCTCTCGCAAGCAAAGGTTAGCAGCTGCGTTAAAAAATATCTGCAGGCCGCAGCTTCAGAGTGGACTCTTTATGACCCGCAAAGGTCCGCGCTTGGCAGACTTGGGTGCAGTTGACCTTGTTTGTGCAAAGTCATTGTTGTGTGCTCTCCAACGGAGTTTGTGACTTTGGACACGAGCAACGGGCCTGTTGAAATCAATCAGGAATAATTCTGGTCTGAATCGTGGCCAAAGACAGAGCCGGACGGGCTCAGCCAACGCGGCGGGTCCAGAGTCCTCGGTGACCAGATTCATAACCCTGAAACCTTACGCTCCGTGAACTACGAGGCTTGGCTGGAGAAGGGGAGTCCTGCAGGGAAGGCAGAAAATGGCAGTCATGTAAAAGAGCGATTAACGCATGGCTGGTTCATTATGTAAGATTAAACCGAGTTACTGGTCTATAAATGGTAAGGAGAGGGAACAGCGCAGGGTGCCAGCCGGATTTTTAAATTCCAGGTCATTTCAGACACATTACAGCTCTTTTTTTCCAAGCCTTTTTGCTTATTTTTGACTATACCCGATCAAAAGTCTGACTTAAAGTCCCCCGTATTTGATCAGTTTTGGCCACCGCACCATGGCTTTGTTGTGTCCCTTGTGTGAACCTGGTGTTTGGGAGCCAGGCGAGAGCAGGGGGCTCCTCTCACCTTGTCAGAATTAAAAATATCTCACACGACAAGGTTGAGCCGGACAGTGTGAACCCTGTTTCCAAAATGGGAAATAATCCCTGTGACAAATACCATCAGTTCTCTGTTGCACTGACTTTGAAGACTGAAGAAGTTACAAGAGAACAAGAAGAGGCACCAACATCCAACTGATTATAGACTGATCCACATCCACTGAATGTTTGGAGAGCAACCATACCTAAACACACTGCCAACATGTGGCTATAAATCCAGTTATTTAGCTGACTCGTGATTTGGATGTAAATCAAAGTGTCTCAAACTTCTTGCAAGCAGTGGTCACTAATCTCAAATATGACTGTGATGATTTCATGACCAGGGTGTTTTATTCGTTAACAGCTGCTTCTCCTGTCTCTGTCTTTACGACTTGTTTTCCTCCTCGTGTGTGAAGTTTGCAGGTTTCTCCTCTGAGTCTCTGTGTGAGAGGATTGTTGATGCCCAGAGCAGCGTTCTGGTGACTGCAGGTTTGTCCCAACATTTGAGCTTTTGGCCTTTTTTAAAATGTTTTTTTTTTACATGCGTCTCATATGATCCATCATCACAAGTTTTTTTTTTTTCATGCCTTGTCTCTCTGGTTCCTCCTTCTGCACCTCCATAACACACAGATGGTGTTTACAGAGGAGAGAAGCTGATCAACCTGAAGCAGATTTCAGACGAGGCTTTGGAGAAGTGCAGGGAAAAGTAAGTCCCGGTTAAACGGCCGGCACTTTCCCAGTTCCCAGAAACCGCCTGTATTTACACTGCTGCCCGTAATGAGACTCAGCTTCCAAGAACACGCACACACACACACCCACCCACACACACACACTCACTCACTCACTCAGGCGAGTGTGCCGCAATCAGCTGATATCAGAGCGGCCCAAGAAGCGCACCACTGGGCTTTCAGATTACAGGGTTGCCGGGGTAACATGGAGCACTTAGATTCATCAGGGAAGCCCAAGCTGCTCGTCTCCAAGGGCAACGAGAGCCTGGAAGAGATGTGAGCTGAGGCAGAGCGAAGAGAGGGGCACAAAGTATCAGAAACGCAGATGTGACCAGGCCATCAGTTCAAAATGGTCAAATAGGATGGAAATATTTATCAAACTTTTTATGAATAAGGTTAAAAAAAAATGTTAAAAAATGTCTAATGGTCAAAAAAAATCTGAGCATCCATGTTATTAATCTGTCACTGAATCTACCACAGCCAAAATGTTTTATCTAATTGGATAGTTTAAACCATTATTTAAAAATGCAGTTTAAACAATGGGAGGAGGAAAAGATGGGGCTTAAGTGTGTTTTCTTTCTGAATTTATCATAGAGCATCTTCCATAGTCACCAAATGCCTGGTTGTCAGGCACCATGCACTGAGGACAAAAACCGGGACCTCCCACAACAAACTGCAGGTAATTTATTCTTTTAAAATCTATTGCAAAAGAGTGATATGAAAAAACCATATCAAAGAGCGTTTGATAAAGCATTTAAAAGGTGAAATCTCAAACCTCTATTTTTTGTGATATTCTGCACATTTTCTCCAAATGTAACATAAAGAGAATTGTAACAGCACACTGTAATGTGAGAGATCCTACATATGTGTGTACATTTATATGTTAAATCTGAATCTGAGGTATCAAAAATCTGCTAATTTAATCCTGTTGTTGCAGGTAGGTTATGTGGTATGTGGTTATACCTTTACTCCTCTGTACAGGTTTGTCTATTGGATACAGATTGTGATTAAGAAACTAACTTTTATGAATCGATGCCACACGATTTGCACACTTGGAACTGTCAAGTGTTGCTTTTCTGTTCCTAACACACGCCGCGTGTTGTCATGAAGCCGATAAACACACAACAAAAAGCACACGATCGCCAGCGGCCGAGCACGTTAAAAGCCCCACCGTTTTCAGTCAGAGTTTTCCCTAACGGGGAAACGGCCGCTGTTTAATCCAGTGGGCTTCAGTCGTGGTTGAAAGAGGGCACAGTAAATTAGTTTTCCAATTGTCCTGCTGTGTTGCCGCTGGTGTGTTCTACCCACCATTTGAGCAGCCGTAATGAGCAGCGGTGTCTGGAATCCCCCCCCCCCCGGTGCTTTCAGACCCCCTGGGACGCAGAGCGGGACGTGTGGTGGGACGAGGCCATGAGGGACTCTCCTGAAGACTGTGAGCCCGAGTGGCTGGAGGCCGAGGACCCGTCCTTCATCCTCTACACCAGCGGCTCCACGGGAAAACCCAAAGTAGGACACAGGCCTCCCGAGGAGGCCCTGAGACCAAACCTTGGGCACGAATCCTGTGTGGTTTTTCTAGAGGGTCTTTCTCTTGTTTGTGATCTTGTGTATGGCTCTCCTCAGGGGGTCGTGCACACGGTCGCCGGCTATCTGCTCTACACGTCGCTGACCTTCAGGTGCGTCTTCGACCATCACCACGACGACGTCTACTGGTGCACGGCGGACATCGGCTGGATCACCGGCCACTCCTACATCACCTACGGCCCGCTGGCAAACGGCGCCACCAGCGTCCTCGTGAGTCCCGGTGGAGGCGCTGAGGCTTCTCCAGCAGGAGAGGACAACTTCACCCTGTTCATTTTGTGTGTGTGTGTGTTTGTGTACATTTCAGTTCGAAGGCATCCCCGTCCACCCTCATGTCGGCAGGTTCTGGGAGATCATTGAGAAGTACAAAGTAACCAAGTTCTACACGGCCCCCACAGCCATCCGCCTGCTGATGAAGTACGGGCAGGAGCCGCTCCAGAAGTGAGTGGAACGCTGAGAAAAAGGTTATTCCAGACGCTGCTGGAGCAGCTGCAAAGCGCCGCTTAACACAAGAGGCGGTTTTCTAACAGGACTCCTCAACCTTTTGCAAAAAAACCCCCAAAGACATCCTGTCGCTTCACTCTCTTCATATGCAACATTTAACTCTGCAGTACACACACTGAACCACGTAACACTGCTATGCTACATCTTTTTGCGTAACTTCATGACCAGATTCTCATTTGATTGAGGTATCAAAAGCATAGAAATGATTACCAACTGAATAATGACAATGTCTGCTAATTTTTATGTTCTTTAGGCTCCTTTTTTGGCTCTTGCCTTAAAACAAGCAATCACAATGTTCTTCAACCCATGAAAAAACCCTGACGTGTCACACTGTGTTAATTCTTATTGGATAAAAAACTACACAAAAATGACAAAACAGTATGTAAAAAAACTTGGTCCACGCTGGCTTCCGTAAGAAATAGGAGGATAAGTGGCTGATCTGTTGGTCGATCAACTCATTATCAATAAGGGTAAGCACTGAGTCTGGAGCATTAGAGGTAGGGACATCACAAAAGATCCCATTCGTCTGGGAGGGTTTAGTGAATAAAATCATTCTTAAGAGCAGCGTCTCCCAACCCTGGCTCTCAATGCTTTAAAGAGATCCATCAGAATCAGGCATGTAAAAGCAGGAAAATGTCTAAAAACTGCACAGGGCGGCTCCCGTGGCTCTGGGTTTTGACACCCCCGATCTAAGAGGAGGAGTAAAAAGGGCATCCAAGTGGTCTGAGGGGAATTGCTGACTTTGAGACAGTGATGATGCAATCTCGGAGCTAAAAGGGAAATCTGTCGACGCCACAGGTATGACCTCTCCAGCCTGAAGATCCTGGGCACCGTGGGAGAGCCCATCAACCCCGAGGCGTGGCAGTGGTACCACGAGGTGGTCGGCCAGGGCAGGTGTCCTGTGGTGGACACGTTCTGGCAGACCGAGACGGTAAGAAACAGACACGAAAGCCTCTCAGAGCTGTTACACTTCAGATATTGTCTGATTCTCCTGTCCTCTGCAGGGTGGCCATGTGTTGACTCCTCTGCCTGCTGCCACACCGCTGAAACCAGGCTCTGCCGTAAGCCCTTTTCTTTGCCAAAGCATCTCACCTTATACAGGTCACGCAGCTTGTTGGTAACTCAAGCCAATTAGAATCCATTTTATTGTAATATACAATCAAAATGAAAGCATCCAGTTCAAGTAGAAATGTTCCTAGATGTCAGATTGTAGCAGATCTCCCCTTTGATCAAATCCTCAATCCTGACTGTGGAGAGAAAAAAAACTCCCTTTAACGAGAAGGAACCTCTGGCAGAACAAGAGGGGAAAAAGGACAACAAGCACAGCCCCGGACTCACTTGTTCCATAAGAGTGACGACTGGGAACTTGAGACTTAATTTGTATGACATTTTCTGCACAGCCAGAGGAAGAGACAGTATTGCTGCTCCTTCGTTTATTATTGAAATAAAAAACGATTTGATATGACAGATTTGAGAAGCAAAACTTTGTCTTTGGTAGCTTTTGTGCTCGCTGCCTTGAGCAAAACATTAGTATTTGGATTTTTATTGGATAAAGACAAAAAGCGAATGGCAGGCTGTGACTTTAAAACCAGCCAGCGTTTGCACCTCTGCCTGATCTTAACAACAGACCATGTACAGCTAAACAAACCCGCACCATGATACTACCACCATCAATTTTCACTGGTTTCTTGAAACAGAACAACAGTAATTTGGTGGCATCTGCCCATAAGATTCACGGATGGTTAAAACGGTCTGATTTCAATCAAACATCCTTCCCATGTACCTGGCTGACAGTCCACTGTCACAGAGCCCCTTCAAAAATGCGTTTACCGATCAGAAATGTTACATTATTTAAATGTTGTACATCGCATCTTGTTTTGTTCATCCATGTTTTCTTCATCCATTTTTAACACCTGCTTGTAAAAAGAAAAAGAAAAAGGAAATTACAGAGAAATACACACAAAAAAAAGCCCTTCCTTGGATTTTCTGTGGGCCTGCTGGTTATGATGTGGGCGAGGCACCACGGCCAGGCAGGAGTTATCTATCAAAGAGCACAGTTGTCTCACATTAAATCTACAACTCATATTTCAGACCTTCCCTTTCTTCGGGGTCGAGCCGACCATCCTCAACGAGCACGGGGAGGAAGTGGAGGATGAGGTGGAGGGTTATCTGGTAAGTTTCAGCTCAGAAAAACATTTTTTTTCCCTCTCTGCGTTGGGACGAACGGGGAGATAAGCTCCGGACGCAGATCACCAGATGCACAGTACCAAGGAAATGTAATCCCCCTGTTCGTGCGGGCATTATCTCAGATCCCGCCGCCTGTGATCAGCTGATTTATTCTTTGGAGCAAAAAATGGAAGTATTGGGACCTGCTGGTGGAGTTTTAACACTGTGCCCTGTTTTTTTTTTTTTGTTGTTGTTGTTGTTGTTGTTGTAGGTTTTCAAAAGGCCCTGGCCAGGAATAATGCGCACTGTGTTCAAAAACCACGAGCGCTTCGAGAACACCTACTTTAAGAAGTTCCCAGGCTTTTACGTGACCGGCGATGGTGAGAGCTGAGCTGAACTTTCACCTTTGCATCTCGAAAGCCAACAGATTTCCTTCCTTATTTTGAGGTTCTTACGTTTGTTTTTTCCCCTCTTGCAGGCTGCAAGCGGGATAAAGACGGTTATTTTTGGATCACTGGGAGAATAGATGACATGCTCAACGTGTCAGGTAGTGGGCTCCTGCACCGGAAGTGTGCTGAGTTGACATTTTTGGTCTTTCCGACCTTGTTTAGTTCACGACCTGCTTTGGGTTCTTGTCCCCCAGGCCACCTGATGAGCACGGCGGAGGTGGAGGCGGCCCTGATGCTCCACCCGGCTGTGTCGGAGGCAGCCGTGGTGAGTCGGCCTCACAAGGTGAAGGGAGAGTGTCTGTACTGCTTTGTCACTCTCAAAGACAGCAGGGAGTTCCACAACACGCTGGTGGAGGAGCTGAAGAGACTGGGTGAGACTCCAACACGTCCACATTATCGGTGTTATAGGAGAAAACATGATCAAAACATCTTTTAAGATTCTACTTGTAACACAACTTAAACCAAAGTGCCCTAAAAGTGGAGATTATCTCCTTCCCTTGAAAAATTAAATGCTGGTTCTGCAATCATGACTTTATGATTTAGTGCTATCACACCCTTTCTGCGGTTTCTTTCAGTGAAAGTGCTGAAAGTACATTTAATAAAAGTTGTTCAGGTATTTTCAGGTCTCATTTTCAGGGCTGAGAACCTATAAACCCTCCTCTGTTTTTGACACAATCTTTGAACGTCAGCCCAGACTAACTTCCCACTCTGCTGATTTCCCCCTCCTCTTAGTGAGGGAGAGAATCGGACCAATCGCCACGCCGGACTTCATTCAAAATGCCCCCGCTCTGCCCAAGACCCGTTCAGGTAAAGTCTCCCCCCCGCCATCCTCCTCTTCTTCCTCCTTATTTTCCCCCCTCTGAAACACCGGCCTCCTGCTCTTCCTCAGGGAAGATAATGAGGCGGATCCTCCGGCAGATTGCCCGCAACGACAAGGACCTGGGGGACCTCTCCACCCTGGCCGACCCCAAGGTGGTGGAGGTGCTGTTCAGCCAGAGGAGCGAGGCTGCGGCCTAACAAACGCCCTCAGCTTTTTATACCGTGACTATGCAACGTTACTGATGAAAACCCTCCCCCCCCGGACCTTTGGACTGAACGTTAGGGCCCCGGGCGGAGACATTTAAGCAGTGGAAATAACATCCAATGGTTATTTTTTGTTGTTGTGCTTGGGCCAAAATGCCAGGCCCTCGGGTCCGAGCTTTTACTGGATGAAGAAGAGATGCTTTCTGTCCGTTCGAATGTTGGAATTTAGAGGTCCGCTTTGCAAAGCCTGTTCCTGACTGGTGCCTGCTGTATATTTCGATGCTGTGAGACATTTCTATGACCCGAGAATAAAGCGTAGAAGCAGCCTCCCTCCTTTGTTCCGTTCGGTTTCCAAACAGAGCGGCTGAATGTCGCCCCCATGCGACGGGACTCCGCCACTGCAGCAGCTGCCTGACGAGTGACTGAAAATCCGTCTTTTTTTTCTCCTTCTGAGGCTTTTTTTACCCTTCTGTCATCTAATGATGCACAAAGCACACACAGGCAAGGCTTTGATGATGTGATCTGTGCAGCTGGGAGCAGCGATTACAGGAAACCGAAGAGGGCCGAGGCTGTTTTATCTTAAGAGCGAGGGAATCGTTTGAAATTACAAGCATCAGTTGACTTGACGAGGACAAAAAGGGAACAATAATGCCTTTTTTAAGCGATGAGACTGCAGCAGGTTGTTGTGAACATCTCTCAGAGATGTGTGTGTGAGTGTGTGTGTGTGTAGGGGGTTATTGCTGTCTCATCCTCAGGTCGTGTGCAGTCGGTAGGCTTCTCTCTTGTTTCTGGCTGCTCATCTCCTCCATGTCACATGCAAATTTCAGAGCATGTAGGGGGAAGCGGGGGGGGGGGGGGGACAAGGACA